ACTCTTATTAAACATAGTACTGGAAGTCCTAGCCACAGGAATTAGACAAGAAGAAAAAGTAAAGGCAACCAAATTGAAAAGTAGAAAGTAAAACTATCATTATTTCCAGATGTTATGATATTATACATAGAAAACCCTAAAGTATCCAACAAAGAAAATACTCAATTTAATAAATGAATTTGGCAACATAGCAGAATACAAAATTAACACCCAGAAATCTATGGCATTTTTATACAGCAACAATGAACTCTCAGGAAGAGAAATTAAACAAACAATCCCATTTACCATTGAAACAAAAAAAAATTATGATACTTAGGAATAAATTTAGCCAAGGAGGTAAAAGACCTGCACTCAGAAATCTACAGGACGTTGAAAAAAAGATACAGAGAAATATATAAACAAGTAGAATATATCTTGCTCATGGATTCATAGTATAAACACCATTAAAATATCCATACTACTCAAAGCAACCTATAGATTCATTGCAATCCTTATTAAGGTTCTATTGGCATATTTCACAGATCTAGAACAAACATGTGAAAAATGTATATGGAACCAAAAAAGACCCCCAAAGGGCCACAGCCATCTTGAGAAAGAAGAACAAAGTTGAAGGGATACAATACCAGATATCAAGTTATACTGCAAAGCCAGTACTCGAAAGAGCCTGCTACTGGCACAAGAAAAGGAATATAGATCAATGGAACAGAACAGATAACCTGAAATAAACCTAAACACTATGTTCAATTAATATTTGACAAAGGAGGAAAGAGAATACAATGGAGTCAAGGCAGTCTCTTCACTAAATGGTGTTCTGAAAATTGTACAGATACATGCAAAAAAAAATGAAACTAGAACACCAACTTACACCATATACAAGAATAACTTCAAAATTGATAAAAGATTTAAATCTAAGCTGTGAAACCATAAAAACTTTAGAAGAAACTAGAAGTAGCAAAATTTCGGACATCTCTAGTAGCAATATGTTTTCTGATAAATCTTTTAGGGCAAGGGAAACTAAGGAGGAAATCAACAAGGAAGAATATATCAAATAAAAATCTCCTGCACAGCAAAGGAAACCATCAACAAAATAAAAAGGAAGCCCACATTATGGGAGAACATAGATCTGATAAGGGGTAAATTTACAAAATATATAAGGAACTCATACAACTTAACAAATAGAAGACAAACAATTCAATTTAAAAAATGGGCAAAGAACCTAAGTAGACACCTCTCCAAAGAGGACATACAGATGGCCAACAGACATACGAAAAAGTGTTCAATGTCCCTAATCATCAGAGAGATGGGAATTGAAATGAAAATTATATATTACCTCACACCTGTCAGAATGGCTACCATCAACAAATCAATAAATGACTAGTGCTGGTGAAGATGTGGAGAAATGGGAACCCTAGTACAACGCTGGTGGGAATGCAGACTATGCAGCCACTGTGGAAAACATTATGGAGGGTCCTCAAAAAACTAAATATGGAACTGCCATTTGACACAATGATCCAACTCTAGGAATATATCCTAAGAAACCCGAAACACCAATCAGAAAAAAATGTATGCACCCCTGGTTCATAGCAGCACAACTTAGAATAGGTAAGATCTGAAAACAGCCCAAGTGCTAATCAGTAGATGAGTGGATAAAAAAATCTGTGGTACATTTACACCAAGAAAAAAAAGAAGGATCTCTTACCCTTTTGAGACAGCATGGAGGGACCTGGAAAGTATTATGGTAAGTGAAGTCATCGAGGCAGAGAAAGACAACTATCACATGATCTTACTCATATTTGGAATTTAATGAACAAAATAAACTGTTGAACATAATAAATCCAGGGACAGAGAAGCATAGAATAGACTGAGAAATCTCAGAGAAGAGGTGGGGCAGGATGTGTGGGTGGAGAAGGATTAACCTGGGGGACTTCTATGCATATATGCATAACCCATGGACACAGACAATAGTGTAGTGAAGGTCTGAGGAGGCTGTGGTGTGGAGGGTTTCAATGGGGAAAATGTAATACTCTCAACAATAAATGTACATTAAAATAAAATACACCTAAAAAAAGAAGCAAAAAACAAGATTGATAAACCTTTAACTAAACTCATCAAGAAGAGAGAGAGAGAGAGAGAGAGAGAGAGAGAGAGAGAGAGAGAGAACCCAAATAAACAAAATTCGAAATGAAAAAGTAGAAGTAACTCACTCCACAGAAAAACAAAGTATTGTAAGAAAATCTTAAGAACAACTATATGCCAATAATTTAAATAATCTGGATAAATTCTTAGAAACATTCAATGTTCCAAACTGAATTAAAAAGAAAGAAAAAGAAAATCTGAACAGACCAATTATAACTAACAAAATTAAAGAAGTAATCAAAAACTTCCATTAAACAAATCCTTGACTAAATGGCTTTACAGGTGAATTTTACCAAACATTGAAAGAAGTACTACCACCTATCCTCAAACTATTCCCAAAATTCAAGAGAGAAGACTTCCAAGCTCGTTTTACAAAGCAAGCATTATCCTGATTCCAAACTAAATAAAGACAAGATAAATTAAAAAAAAAATTATGTCAATATCACTGATGAACATGATGGAGAAATCCGCAACAAAATATTAGTAAACCAAAGCCAGCAATACTAGTACATGAAAAAGTTCATACACCATGATCAAGTGGGATTTATTCAGTGGACACAAGGTTGGTAAAATTTGAGCAAATAAATAAATGTGATATACCACATATCAAAATGATGGACAAAATCATATGATCATAGAGATAGTTGCAGAAAAAGCAAATATCCAGCACTTACTTATAATAAAAATTCTTAGCAAAATAGGAACAGAGGGAACATAACATAATAAAGAATAAATATGACAACCCCACAGCTATGATCATACTCAATAGGGAAAAACTAAAAGTGTTCCACTTTGGATAACAATACAGAAAGGTCCACTTTTGCCACCCTTATACAAAATAATACTGAAGTCCTACCCACAGCAATCATACAAGAGAAAAGAAAAGGTATCCAAATTTGAAAGGAAGAAGTAAAATGTTCATTATTTGCATATGACATGAAACTGTATATTTAAAAAAGCCTAAAAATCCTCAAAAACTACTGATAAATTCAGTAAAGTAGCAGGATACAAAATAAACATTGCTTTCATATACAGTAATAGTAAACTATCAGAAAGCAAAACTAAGAAAACAATCCCATTTATAAATGCATAAAAAAGATACCTAGAAATAACTTTAACCAAGTAGGTAAAAGACCTGGACTCAGAAAATTATAAGGCAGTGAAGAAAGAAATTGAAGAAGATACAAATAAATGGTAACTCAGGAATAGAAAGAATTAACATTGTTAAAATGTCCATACTGCCCAAAGCAGCCTACAGAGTCAATGCAATTCCCATCAAAATACCAGTGGCATACTTCACAGATGTAGAACAAATAATCCAAAAATTGATATGGAACCACAAAAGACGCCTAAAAGCCACAGCAATCTTGAAAAGGAGCAAAGTTGGAGTTATCACATTACCTGATGTCAAGATTTTGGTAATCAAAACTGCATGGTACTGCCTTTAACACAGTCATATAGATCAATGAATCAGAATATAGAGCACAGAAATAAACCCACCTATAAGGGCAATTAATGTTTTACAAAAGAAGCAAGAACATACAGTGGGGTAAAGACAGTATCTATACTTATAATAGGGTAATATGAAAATTGATCAGGACACCATCACATAACAACCAATCAGCAGGAGAGCAGGACAGCGAGCTATGTGAGGCAGAGAGCTACAAGCTGTCATGGGCAGGGCAGCCAGATGAGGCAAGCAGCAGCGAGCTACTCATGCAGGGCCACTAGTATTCAATAAATTGTGTTGGGAAAATTGGAAAGTTACATGCAAAAAATGAAATTAGACCCATCTTCTCACATGATATACTAGAATAAACTCAAAATGGATTTAAGACTACATAAATTTGAAATCATAAAACTCCTAGAAGAAATCCTAGGCAGTAAAATATCAGACATTTCTCCCATGAATTTTTTTTCTGATATGCTTCCTCAGGCAAGGGAAACAACAACAAAAATAAACTACATCAAATTGAAAATGTTTTCTAAAGTGAAAACCATCAACCACTTAGTGAGAGAACATATCTGCCAATGTTATATCTGATAAGAGGTTAAAAGTTAAAATTTATAAAGACCTCATACAACTCTACCTGGCTGGATGGTTCATTTGCTTATAGCATCATCTTGTAGATGAGTGGTTCTCAACCTTTCTAATCCCAGGACCCTTTAATACAGTTTCTTATGTTGTGGTGACCCCCAACCATAAAATTGTTTGCGTTGCTACTTCATAACTGTAATTTTGCTACTGTTATGAATCATAATGTAAATATCTTGTGGATAATAAAAACAGTATAAACTGATGAACAAAAAGATAGATACAGTGTCAGTAAAGCATCAAATAGGCTATCAAATTATAGCGGGAAAATTAGGGAGAGGTGGGGGAGATAAGAGATCACCTGAAGGAATTGTATGCATGCATATAAGCATAACCAATGGATACAAGAGACTGGGAGGTGGGGACATGTATGGGAGTGGGGTGGGGTAGGGCCAATGGGAAGATATGTACACATATAATATCTTAATAAAAAATGGAAATTAAAAAAAATAAATACATAAAAATGAAATAAAAATAGCTCATTATAATAAAAACAAAACAAAAAGAATGCCCCTCAATTTGATTTTGGTCTGTTGTCTTCCCATGATTATATTGAGGTTATGCATTATTCAGAAGGATGTTACAGAGGTGCTATGCACTTCTCATTGCACTATATTGAGAGTACATGATGTCAATACACCTTATTTCTAGTGATATTAACCTTGATTACTTGGTTAAATCACAGACTCGGATCATAATGAAAACCTAAAAAGATAATTTCCCTTTAAAGTAAGAATCCTAAATGTAAGAAAGACACATGTACACATACCTGAAGTTTGGTGATGATTTCCTGTTTTGTGACCTCCACCAACTGATTATCTTCTACTGCAAAGGCTGGGAAGGATATAACTGAAAGTAGACTAGCGTCAACCTCTTTGGATGTTGAAGCCCGGGGAAGTATTGAATTAAGGATAGACTAAGAGAAAGAAAATCAAATGTGGCACATTAGGAGATTGAGATCCAAGATGGCTGCTCGGGTAGACATCTAGCCGTGGCAGCACACAACAATTTCAATGGAATACAACTAAGATCTAGAGTGGACATTGCCCAGAGCTACAGGTAGTCGACTGACTGAAAATTCTACAACAAGAAGGAAAGAGAAAACCAGAAGGAAAATCAGAGGAGCTGAAAAAAAAATCCTAAGGTACGGAGACATGCTGCGTGCCCGCCCGCACGCACACGCGGAGAGGTCGCAGCCAGAGAGGAGGAGAGGGCGGGGTGCTGCCTTTCCTTCCCTAGCAGGAAGGAAATAAAACCCCCAGCCTGGGCTGAACCCCCGAACCGGCAGAGCTGAGCCCCCCGAACCAGCAGCGCTGAGCCCCAGTTATGGGCCAGACCCTGGGGACCCAGGCTCCGGCAGGAGGAGACGGGGCTATGAGGTGGAAAAGCGGCGAAAAGCAGGGCCCCCGGAGTCGCGCGCAATGCGTGCACAGACAACTGAATGTTGACTCTGATGCTGGGTTACCCTAGCAGGAAGAAACAAGGCCTCCGGCGGCGCTGGGCCTCAGTCCGGTCTGCTCCGAACCCCAGTTCTGGGCCAATCCCTGGGGACCCACTCAGGCAGAGGGAGACGGGGCTGTGAGGTGGAGTCCGGGGAGAGCGGCGAAAGGCCGGGCCCCAGGACTTGCACACACTGCGCGCAGAGGACAGTCTGTTGACTCTGATGCTGGACTCCCCTAGCAGGAAGGAGAAAAAAAAGCTCCTGGCTGGGGGAATGCGCGGCGGGGAGCAGGAGCCCCTGCCGGGATGGGACGCCGGCCAACCAGGAACCAGCAAGGAGCCAGGCGACGGGGCCCCTGTGGGGGGTGCCCCTGAGCCTTCCACCGCTGAGCGCAGGCAATGGAGCCAAGGCCGGGGGCTGCTTCCTGGGCGGCGCCGTCCCCGGCAACAGGCTGAAGCAGCTCAGGAGCCCGCGGAGAACAAAGGGGTGCCACGGGCCAACCTGCTGAGCTCCCAGGACAAGGAGGAAGAAACCAATGAAGTTCTCAATGTGAAGAAATCAAGTGAGAGCAAAAGATAGTAAAATTACTTAAGAAAGAATACAAAGAAGTTCTTGAAAAATCAAAGACTGAGTCAGAACTCAACTCAACAGCCAACATTGCAACATAAATGCATTTTAAAAAAAAGAAAAAAAGGGAAAAAAAAGGACAGAATGTTGGAACCACGGCGGCCAGGCCTAGAGTGGCCAGGCACAAGGCAGTGGCAGCCGGGCCCGGAGCAGCAACGGCCAGGCCCCAGAGCAGCAGCAGCCAGAACCAGAGCATCAACAGCCAGCACTGGAGCAGCCAGACCTGGGGCAGTGGCAGCCAGGCCTGAGGCGGAGGCGGCCAAGCCCAGGGTGGCCAGTTCAGGAACAACCAGACCCGGAGTGGCCGGGCCCGGAGAAGCCAGGCCCAGAGCAGCCGGGGTGGGAGCAGCCAGACCCAGAACAGCAGTAGCCAAGCCCAGAGCATCCAGGCTGGGAGTGCCCAGGCTCGGAGCGGCCGGGCCCGGAGCAGCCGGGCCCGGAGCAGCTGGGCCCGAAGCAGCCGGGTCGGGTGCGGCCAGGCCCGGAGCAGCGGCTGCCAGGCTGGGAGCGGCCAGGCCCGGGGGAGCAGGCGGGTTGGTGCGGCCAGGCCCGGAGCAGCGGCTGCCAGGCTGGGAGCGGCCAGGCCCGGGGGAGCAGCCGGGTCGGGTGCGGCCAGGCCCGGAGCAGCGGCTGCCAGGCTGGGAGCGGCCAGGCCCGGGGGAGCAGCCGGGTCGGGTGCGGCCAGGCCCGGAGCAGCGGCTGCCAGGCTGGGAGCGGCCAGGCCCGGAGCAGCAGCAGCCAAGTCCAGAGCAACTAGGTCGGGAGCGGCAGTGACCAGACCCGGAGCAGCTGGTTGTGGAATGAACCAGAGCAAGAGAGGCCAGGCCCTGAGCAGCCAGGCCCGGAACAGCTCGCTCCTTGCCTGCCCCTGCCCCACGGCTGCTTCTCAGACATGGCTGGAAACTTTCGTGGGAACTTGAGGGTCTGCTGAATCAAGTGATGAAGGCTTAGATCTGGATGTGTTGAGTTAGTATAGGGCTGGGGTGTTGATCTGTGAATGCCTTGTCTGGGGCCTGGATGAGGCTAGTTGACCTATTGGGAAATGTCTTTTGTGTGAAGTGTATCATTGGGCATGTGGAGGTATTATTGATATGAGAAAATGCTAAGTAACTGATTTACTATCTGAAAAGGGATTTACTATGGGGAAAGGGAGGACAGAAGAGACTGAACATAAACTGCACCTATGGATGAGGACAATGGGGGATGGGGAGGGGGCGGAGGGTGGGGTGGGAACCTGGTGGAGGGGGGAAGAAATGAGGAACCTTTGTAATAATATGAACAATAAAGATTGATTTAAAAAAATAAAAAATAAAAAAGGCAAAAAAAAAAATAAAATAAAAAATAAAAAATAAAAAATAAAAAAATGTGGCACATTAGTGAATAATTCACGTTTGTAAAACTTACAAATTTAATTTCCAAAGATTTATGTAGAAGAGCAACATTCAGAAGAAAAACTAAACATCATTCAATAGTGAGAGCTTTAAAAACTAGCTATTTCTGTACATTATCCCTTGTTTCAATACTGCTCTCAATGTTTTCCAATCCTGATTGTTAAGTAGCTGTTAATGGATGAATACTCTTAACATCATTATTCCACCCACAATCCTGTTGTTCAATTAGCAACTATTTACGCATAAAGATAAGAGAAAATGTAGCTGCTGAAAAGCAGAAAATAGAAGGCTCAGCTCATATATCTTTGGTATTTATCTTTTCCATGAAAACTTTTATAATTAGAATATAAATTCATATTTACTACTAAAGACCCAGTGAACTAAATTCATGCATGGGGGGAGGGAGAAAGGTGTCCCTCAGCTCAGCCTGAATGCTCGCCAATATGGAACCCCTCGAGGGATGTTGGACTGCCCTGTGGAATCGGGCCAAACGGGCAGTTGGACATCCCTCTCAATCCAGGTCTGCTGGTTCCCAACCACTCGCCTGCCTGCCTGCCTGATTGCCCCTAATCATTTCTGCCTGCCAGCCTGATCAGGCCTTAACCACACCCCTTCCAGCCTGATCAATGCCTAACTGCTCCCCTGCCTCCCAGATTCCCCTTAATTGCCCTTTCCTGATGGCCTGATCACGTCTAACTGCCCTCCCCTGCTGGCCTTGTCACCCATAACTGCTCGCCCCTGCTGGGCCAGTCACCCCTAACTACCCTCCCTTGCCAGCCTGGTTGACTCTAACTGCCCTCTTCTGCAGGTCTGGTCACCCCTAACTTCTTTCTCTTGCCAGCCTGGTCACCCCTAACTGCCCTTCCCTGCAGGCCCAATCACTCCTAACTTCCATTGCCTGCCCACCTGGTAACCACAAATTGCCCTCCCCTGTCAACCTAGTCACCACTAACTGCCATCCCCTGAAAGTCTGGTCCCCCTCAAATGCCCTCCCCTGCAGGCCTGGTCCACCCCAACTGCCCTCTACTGCAGGCCTGGGTACCCCCCAACTATCCTCCCCTGCAGGCCCGGTCACCCCCAACTGCCCTCCACTACATGTCTGGTAGCCCACAACTGCTCTCCTCTGCTGGCCTGGTCACCCCCAACTGCCCTCCCTTGCAGGCCTAGTCCTTACAAACTGCCCTCCCCTGCAGGCCTGGCTGGTCCCTCCAACTGCTCTCCCCTGAAGGTCTTATCCCTCCCAAATACCTTCCCCTGCATGGCTGGTCCCTCCAAACTGCCCTCCCCTACATGCCTGTTTGCCCACAACTGCCTCTCCTGCTGGCTCAGTCACTTCTAATTGCCTTCCCCTGCCAGCCTGGTCACCCCTAACTACTCTGCCTTGCAGGCCTGCTTCCCTCCAACTGCCCTCCCCTGCAGGCCTGGTCCCCCTCAACTGCCTTCACCTGCAGGCCTGATAGCACACAACTGCCCTCCCCTGCTGACCATCTTGTGGCAGCGATCTTGTGCCCACATGGAGGCGGCCATCTTGTGTGATGGAGTGATGATCAATTTGCACACTACCTCTTTATTATACAGGATAACACTACGGATGTCTAATCAAGGTTTGAAGAAGAGAAGAAAAATCATTTTGACAATGAGAAGAACCTTAATCTTTAATACAAAGAGTAATCCTAACCAAAACTAAGTATATGCATTTATCATTTAAACCAGGGGTGGGGAAACATCTAGGCCATGGGTCATATAAGGTCCATGAAATCATTTGGTTTGGCCCTGCCAAGGTATTAGGAGTGATTTAATTAAATATTTGACCAAATATAGCAGACTAATTTTTAAGTTGATAATTTTGTATGGCCCATGAATGATGTTAAAAATATCCAAATGGCCCTTGGCAGAGAAAAGGTTCCTTACCCATTACCGTATTTTCCGGCCTATAAGACAACTTTTGAAACGAAAAAAAGTCAACCGAAAATCAGGGGCAAAAGACCAAAATTGCACAAAAATTACCTGCAGATCTTGACAGCAAAGTAAGTCTTTTCTTTGAAGTGGGGGGTAGTCTTATACAGCGAATATAGGCCTAAACCTATGTTTTAACTGTAAAATTAGAGGGTCGTCTTATAAGCTGGAAAATACAGTATTTAAACAGTGTAAACTCCAAACAGTTAACCCTAGAGCCAATCTGGAACAAGAGAATATTTTAGAGCCACTATCAACACTCAACATAAGTCACCTGCCTTGCTCTCTTGCTATATTTGGAAAAGCAGATACTCAGGAGCACAGTCCATAGATCTGATATGACAATAGTGAGAAATTCTATATACTATGATGTTATCCCTTTATAACCGTGGATGAGAGAACAGGACTATGATCTATGTTACAGCTAATGCTATATCAGGCTTATTATGATACTAGATGCCCAGTGCATGAAATTTGTGCACTGGGGGTGTCCCTCAGCCCAGCCTGTACCCTCTCCAATCTGGGATCCTTCAGGGGATGTCTGACTGCTGGTTTAGGCCTGATCTTGAATATAAATGCATATGTTTAGTTTTGGTTAATATTATTCTTTGTATTGAAAAATTAAGGTTCTTCTCATAGGCAAAATTACTTTTCTTCTCTCATTTAAACCCTGATTAGAAATCCATAGTGTTATAGTAGATACAAATTCATCTTCTAATTATAACCAGCAGTCAGACATCCCTCTCACAATCTTAGACTGCCGGTTCCTAACCACTCGCCTACCTACCTACCAGATTGCCCCTAACTGCTTCTGCCTGCCAGCAGATCTCCCCATAACTGTTCTCTTTCTGGCCTGATTGACGCCTAACCACTCCCCTGCTGGCCTGATAGACCCCAACTGCCCTCCCCTGCCGGCCCAATTTCCACCAACTGCCCTCCCCTGCTGCCCTGATGACCCCCAACTGCCTTCCTCTGCTGCCCTGATCACCCACAACTGCCCTCCCCTGCTGGCCATCTTGTGGCGTCATCTTGTGATGGCCATCTTGTGACAACATAGGAATGGCCATCTTGTTATGACATGAGGGCGTCAGCCGAGGGCACAAGGGCCACCTAGGCTTTTATTAGTATAGATAGAATGTCTGATATTTTTGGCACATAGTAATACATAAGATTTTCTATTCTCAATCAGGTCTCATCAGGTCTCGTATTCTAAAGTCCACACTAAGTCTGAATCTGAGTAAGAATAAAATTATTTATAATGTGGTCTATTATTTTCTTACCTGGCAGTGTTGTACTTCATCAGCAAGGACATGAATAACTGATTGGGGCCCACCTTTCACACCGAACAGATCCAGTTCATCTAATGCTTCTAGGGCTGCCTGTGAGGAACAAAGAAGAAAAGGTCAATTTCAGTATTACATATATTACTCCCTATACCTCAGTATCACATCAAAGTACACAGGCCTGTAATTTTGAATATGTTCAGAACATAAAATACAATAACAGTATTTATTCTGAAAAGCCTCTGAGTTGTTCTTTTGCTTACATACTAACCCAGAGACAATTAAGATGAAGGTTGTAGCCATTCTTTCATGATAAAACGTTGCAATAAGTTCAATATAGGAAAAATATACCTCAATATAATAAAGACCATATATGACAAACGCACAGCTAACATTATACTCAACAGTGAAAAACTGAAAGTTTCTTCTCTAAGATCAGGAACAAGAAAAGGGTGCTCACTCTCACCACTCTTACTCAACATTGTTCTAGTAGTTGTAGCCAGAGCATTATGCAAGAAAAAGAAATAAAATGCATCTGATTTGGAAAACTGTCATTATTTACAAATGATACGATCTTATATAGAGAAAACCCTAAAGACTCAACAATCAAAAAAACTAATAAATAAACACAAAAATTTGAAGGATATAAAACCAGCATATAGAAATCAGTGATGTTTTTGTACACTAACAAAGAACTATCTGAAAAAGATAAAAAAAGAAACCATCCCATTCACAATAGCATCAAATTCAGTCAAATACTTAAGACTAAATTTTAAATAAATCTTTATTGTTCAGATTATTACAAATGTGTCCCTCTCCCCCCCCCCCCCCGTCAATTACTCCCCTCCACCAGGTTCCCATCCCACCCTCTGCCCTTTCCCCACCCCCCACTGTCCTCATCCATAGGTGCACAGTTTTTGTTCAGTCTCTTCCCACACCCCCAGTCCCCTTTTCCACCAGAAACATCAGTCCACTCCCCTTCCATAACTCTCATTCTATTATATTCACCAGTTAATATTTTTCATCAGATTTTTTAATTCCCATGGTGTTTAGTTTCTCTTGTTGATAGTTATGTATTTGTTGTTCATAATTGTTATCTTTATCTTCTTCCTCTTCCTAAAGAACCCCCTTCAGCAATTCATATAATTCTGGTTTGGCAGTGATGAACTCCTTTAGTTTTTTTTTTATCTGTGAAGCTCTTTATCTGGCCTTTGATTCTGAGTGATAGCTTTGCTGGGTAGAGTATTTTTGGCTGTAGGTTCTTGCTATTCATTACCTTGAATATTTCTTGCCATTCCTGTCTGGCCTGCATGGTTTCTGTTGAGAAATCAGCTGACAATTGTATGGGTGCTCCTTTATAGGTAACTACCTGCTTTTCTCTTGCTGCTTTTAATATTCTCTCTTTGTCTTTTGCTCTTGGAACTTTAATTATGATGTGTCTTGATGTGGTCTTCTTTGGATTCCTTTTGTTTGGGGTTCTGTGCATTTCCTGGACTTGTAAGTCTATTTCTTTCACCAGGTGGGGGAAGTTTTCTGTCACTATTTTTTCCAATATGCTTTTGGTATCTTGCTCTCTCTCTTCTTCTGGGACTCCCATAATTCTGATGTTGGTTCACTTGACATTGTCCCAGAGGTTTCTTTTTTTTAATATATATTTTTATTAACTTATTATTTTTGTACATATACCAATGCCCCTCCTTCCATACATACTCTCCCTCCCCAGAGTTTAAAGGGTTGGTTGTACTTGTATGCATGTATATAAGTCCTTCGGTTGATCTCTTATCTCCCCCGATCTCCCTAACCACCCCGCTGTAATTTGACAGTCTGCTTGTTGCTTTACTGTATATCTATCTTTTGGTTCTTCAGTTTATAATGTTCTTTATCATCCCAGAGGTTTCTTATACTATACTCAACTTTCTGGATTCTCTTATCTTCTTGCTTCTGCAGAGGAATGTCCTCGGGCTCTTTGTGTTCCAAATCTTTGTCTTGATTCTTGCAATCTTCCAATCTATTTTTAGGACTTTGTGTAATATTTTTTATTTCAGACAATGTTTTCTTTATTTCTAGTTGATCCCTTTTTATTTCTAGTTGATCCCTTTTCATATCCTCATAGGTCTCATTTATTTTATCGGCCTTTTTTAGGGAATTCTTAAAAAACCTTATAACTGTAGTTTTGAACACAATGTCCATTCTTTTATTTTCCTCCATCTCCTTTTGTGTCCTGTCTCTTTGCATTTTTGCTGCTTCCCTAATTTGATGGAATAGTTTTGTGTGCTAGGTGTTCTGATAGAGCCCAGTAGCCTTCCCAGTTAACTGAGGTGGACAGTCTTGGTGTAGCCCTTTGTGGGCTGTGTGTGCGGTCTTGTTGTTAAGCCTTGCTTATTGTTGGTATCACTGGGAAGTGTTTATCTCCAAGCCAAATGGTTGTGAGGATCAGCAGTGTCTCAGCTAGGGGGACTTCTGTACTCTGATTGGATGGGGCAGAGTCTCTGGGTGGCACAGACAAGCTTTGTTTCCCTGTCAGTCTCACCTTAGGAAAGTCCTATTCATGGTGAGTCCTGCAAGATTGGTTGCAGGCACGCGTACCTCTTTGGTATAGGCACAGGCAAGCTTTGGATTCCTGTCAGTTCCGCTTTAGTAAAGTCCTATTCATGGTGATAGAGAAAGCTAGCCTCCAGGAGGGCTTCTGTGCTCAGCTTGGATTGGGCAGAGTCTCAGGGTGGTGCAGACAAGCTTTGGATTCCTGTCAGCCCCTCCCTGAGTCTCACAGTAATGGCCACTGGCTTCACACACCTCTGAGAGATCTCTGCCTGCTGCCTGACAGTCCGGCCTCTCTCTGACTAGGTCCATATATCAGAACAATAGGGTGGTTCTGTTTTCCTCCTGAACAAGAAAGCCAGCTGCGCATTAGCTGTCCGCCCTCTCTGCGCACCTGGAGTAAGCCAGCAGCAAACTTGGCCACTCTCTCTGAATGCCGGGAGTAAGCCAGCAGCGAACTCTGTGGCTGCCTTTTTGCTTAAACAGTTCTCCACACCTTCACAGTTCCTGAGGCTCAGCGTGCCTTCTCTCTCCTTCCCAGATGGTAGAGCCTCCTCTCAGCCGGCCGGCCGGGGCTTTAGGGCAATGTATCCCATTTTCCAGTTCTAAATTCAAAATTGTTGTGGTAGGCTGCATTCAGGTGTCTACTCTATGCCGCCATCTTGGTTTGTCCTCACTTAAGACTAAATTTAACCAAGGAAGTGAAAGATCTGTACAATAAAATCTATATTTTGATGAAAGACATTGAAGACATGAACAAATGGAAAGATATCCCATGTTCATGAGTTGGAAGAATTAATAATGTTAAAATGTCCATATTATCCAAAGCCATCTATTGATTCATTGGAATCCCTTTCAAAATTCCAATGAAATTTTAAAAAGAAATGCAAAAAAAAAAAAAATCCTAAAATTTGTATGGAACCACAATACCTCAAATAACCAAAGCAATCGTGGAAAATAAAAACAAAGCTGAAAACACCACATTTCCTAATTTCAAATTATACTGCAAAAGTATAGTAATTAAATAATATGGTATGGCCATTAAAATAGGCACAGACATCAATGGAACAGAATAGAGAGCTCATAAATAAATTCCTGCACTTATGGTCAATTAATATTTGATAAGGGAGTAAAGAACTCAATGAGGAAAGAAAAATGTCTTCAACTATTCAATAAATGGTGTTGGGAAAATAAGATAGCTGCTGGGACTGACTGGCAGACTCTGAATGATGGATGAATGATTACTTTAACACACGTTTCTCTGAAAGAAAGGGCTAAGGCACTACTTGGCTATCATACCAAGTTGCCCCATTCACCTGTCTCCTTTGACTTTTATTGGCATAACAGTTTGAACTAAAATTAACCTCTAAATATATTCAGCAAGGTAAGCATCCTTGAGAAAGCACATGTTTCTACAAGGTCAGTCTTTAAAGACTAAACATAGATATTTTAGCAAACACCCTGGGGAATCAGACTTGTTTGAAAAAGTCAAGGTAGGGACTGCCACCTTCAGCAAGATCCCCTCAGAGGCCCCGACCTTTCAGATAATCCTCCTTACAGACATCCCAAGCAAGTCCAGTGCTTCCCCACAGATAGTCACATGCAAAGCAATAAAATTAGATCCCTATCTTACACATAAAAATTTGCAACAGCATGAATGGAACTGGAGAGCATTATGCTAAGTGAAATAAGCCAGTCTGAGAAAGATAAATATCATATGATCTCATACTCATTTATGGAATATAATGAACAACATAAACTGATGAATAAAAACAGATCCAGAGACAGAGAAACATTAATCAGACCATCAAACCTTAGAGGGAAGGTAGGGGAGGGTGGGGATAAGGGGAAGAAATCAACCAAAGGACTTGAATGCATACATATAAGCCTAACCAATGAACAGAGACAACAGGGGTGTGAGGGCATGAGTGGGGGGATTGGGGAGTAATGGGAAGATAAGGACACATATGTAATACCTTAATCAATAAAGAAATTAAAAAATAACAAAAAGGATTAAACATAAGATCTCATACCATAAAAATTCCTAGAAGAAAACACAGGGAAGAAGTTCCTTTACATTGGCTTTTGCAGTGATTTTTTTGATAACACCAAAAACACAAGCAACTAAAGCATTAGATGAAGATCTAATTCATAATACAATGATTAAAGACAACAACACTGTAGTATAAACTCTAAAATTGCTAACAGAGTAAATATTAATTGTTTCTATAACAAAAAAGAAATGATAACTATATGATGTAATAAAAAATGCTTGGGTAATAATCATACTGTAATAAATAATTGGGACTACATCAAACTAAAAAGTTTATGCACCACAAAAGAAATAATTTATAAAAACCTGAAAAGCAATCTATGGAATGGCAGAAAATATTTGCAAAAACATATCTGATAAGACATTAATATCCAAAATATATAAAAACTCATCTGACTCAAAAACAGCAACAACAACAACAAAAACACAATTTGTTAGGCATGATTTAATTTAAAATTAGTAGAGAAATTGAATTTTTTCCAAAGAAGACATACAAATGGCCAAT